CTAAGATGCTAGTGAGTTAGCCTAGCAAAGCTCACTAACGTGAACGCATCGATTCGATTGAGTATTGCAGCGCACGAGCGGCTCAGGAAGAAAGAGGGCTCGGCAAAGTGTCGGCAAAAGCAGTGAGGCAGATTTACTTCCTCCAAGTGAATGAGGAAGGCTGCCAGCAGGCCACTCTTTTCGCTCTTCTAGTAGTGGGCAATTTAGAGTAGAGCAGGGTAATAATCGAGCTTATACAGTAGTGCTTTTCTCCTCACTCTCACTAGTGAGCCTTAATGTGCTCGGTATGCAAGTTTGTTTCGAATGTGCTCCAGGGACATGGCTAATAAATCCCGCCAAGACAAATGAAAACAAAACTAACCAGTAGGAAAGAGCAGATGCACAACACACTCACCCATACACAGTGGGCGCAAATGGCGTCAGTGAGCAAACATTTTAGCTGGCATGCTTTGCTGTGCCTTCTCCTGCGGCAGCAGCAGCATCATCTTCATTGCCGTTACATAATGATGGCTCTGTGCGAATTAATTCGTCTCTGCACTTCACTGCATCCCCTTGCCCAGTTTCATTCACTTGCATGCATTCAGGCCAAACGTCGTACAAAGGCGACGGAGGAGAGAGATAGTTTCTGCTGCTGCTTCTTTGGCTGCTTCTGCTTATTGCTCCTGCTGCTGCTGATGCTGTATGGCGTTGAAGCGGTAACAATGGCTGTAGACGCTGAGAGGGAAGAGGGAAGAGAGACGACTCATTTGACAGTGCACCACCACTGGCGATTCTCATTACGATTGGCGCCTGCATCGATTACCAAAGGGCTCTCCTCCTTTCTCTTTCGCCTACTGCCTGGGCCCAGAAGTTGTCTGCACAGTTCTGCAGCAGTGTGCTTGCCAATGCCTGCTCCTCTGAAGCTGCTACTGCCAAGTGACTGTCTACTTACTAATGATGATGATGGCACCACCAACAACAACGGCAGCAGCCGCTCTCAGTAAAAGTGACTGTCGACCACTAATTGGACAGCAGACAGAGTTGATTCATTCACGAATCGGTGACTCTTTTTCACTTGCTGAGTGCTTCATTCACCCACCGAGATGCTATTCAATCAACCACTTCGATTGAGCATTCATATATGCGCCGATATGGAGGCACACTGGATGCAGATGGCTGCTAATTGCACTTGCAATTAGACACAACTCAATCTGGGCATCATTTTGTTTTTGCTGCTGCCATTTTGATGGAGTGCACTGCTACCACGTCACTTTAAGCTGCCGCATTCTCTGCACAGTCTCTATATGCAGTGACAGTTTTTTGGTGTAGGGTGTCTCAAACAAGTTGACAGCATAGCACACACAGTTTCACTTGAAACATAGACAAAAGTAGATTTCTTTTCCATTAATTTGAAAAAATAATTACCACCACAATGTTACCAGTGCTGTACTGTAGCAGTGTTTGTTGAGAGCAGAGAGGATTAGAGAAAACCCTCAGCGAGTGGCCTACTAGCTGCAACTCGCTGTTGGCTTTATTTTTCTCTTTAAATGTGCCTCTTTTGACGCGTGCATTGAGCCACTCATTTAGGTGCAACTGAACGAATCTGGAAATTAAAAAGTAAAGAACCACACGGAAAAAGAGTAGTAATTCTCAGTTTTGCCAGTTGGTGCCACCAAGTGATGCAGACATTGAAGAGTAAAGAAGCTAAAAAAGCACACAAAAAGGAAATGAACAGTATTTTTCTGATTATTCGAATTAATATCAAGGAGGGGAATGAAAGCAGAAGCCCACACATACACATTGCGTCAAACTCGATTGGCAGACGAGTGCAACCAAGAGAAACCTAATCGAAATTTTAAGTCAAGCATAAACGAGTTGGAACTGCTATTTTGAGACTTGCTTCTTTTTCCATCTTTTTTTGGTTCTGCGCTGGGCAACTTTTCTCCCCGCCTGCCACTTGCAAGGTCCGCTTGCTCCAGCGTGCAAAAAAAATCTTAATTTGCTCATTGCTTTCTTCCCTTGACTGCAGTCAGCACTCACACACACACACACGCATTGCTGCTTTAATTTGGCTAAGCAGCTTTGCTCACTTGATGTCGTGCAGTGGGCATTTGCTCGCACAAATCTCTGACGGAAAGCGAAAAGGCAAAGCAAGCATCGACTTTAAGAACAAATTAGTAGACGAATTGAGTTGAAGCATTCAAAGCCGATCACTGAAAGTTTCCGCAAAGGGTGCCACAGACAAGTAAAATGGAGGCTGCTTCAACTACCGTGCTTTTGAGGTTCCTTTTCTACTGTTGTTGTTATTTTTGTCTGCACCCTCATCATTTTCAACTTAGTTTGTTTTATTTTTATTGGAAACATTGCCAAACAATTAAAATGCAATTAGAATGAAAGCAAAGAAATGAAATGGTGAAAATGCTGGCTGCACTTGAAGTGATGGCTGTGGCGCAAGAAAGAATTGCATCGATGATCGGTCGATGATTGGTTTTCCACTGAAAACCATTTGCCAGCCTTTTTTCTTTTTGCACTCGGCGCCCATTTTTCTTCGATCTGTTGACGAAGTGGCTGCAACTTAAGTTTGATGCAGCTGCCGCTTCTTCCTTTACCGCTCAAGTTTTCCAGCATTCGCCTGGTGCTGATGCGGCCTCGGTGCGTATTCATTGACGGCGCCACTCGGCAATTGATATCGAGCCAGACAGACTGAATTCAATTAGACTGAAGTGGCCTTTCAATTGAACGCCACACTAAGAACGAGCACACAAGCCAATCCATCGAAGATGTCTTTCCTTAAAGTGAAAGGGCTCGCGCAGGCAAACTGTCTGTCCAGAATAAACAGAGGCAATTTTGTCGATAAGCACATTAGACTAGCAAAAGATTCGCCTTCAGCTCAACTCAACACTGCTTTTCGGTGTAGAGAAGTTAGGGAGGCAAAGGGCAACATTTACTAATGCTCACGTTGAGCCAACAGAACCGTACAATGGGGATTTAGATATATAAGATCGGTAAATTATCTCAGTGCCCGTACAGTCGCACAGCGGACAGTGCTTGTTGGTGTTCTAGGCAAGGAGGCCTGATCAGAACAAAAAATAAAGGGCAGCATCAATCTATTATTTGCATTCGAATTGCATCTAAATCGGCTGATTACTCTGCTTACAGTACTTTGCCGACAAGACCGACGATGGTCCTGTCAGCAGTGCATCAGCGGCAGTGTGTGTCGGGGTTCATCGGCGACATCACATCACACTCGGTGCCCTGGTCTACAGAAGTAGTGTGCGTGAGTGAGAGTATGTCTGTGTTTGTTTGTACGTCAGTCCGCCAAACCGTCGTCCAAATGAGTTCGATTGATGCACCGTCTTTGCTAAAAGCATTTGCTGCGAGCTTCTGTGTGGTGTGTGCGTGTGTGTGTGAGCGTCTTCGACTGGCAATGCCATTTGCCGGGCGAACGGCAATTGCTGAGTGCTTTGCGCAATTTGTGCCATCTAAAGTGCCAATGATGGCTGATTGAGAATTGCTCAAATGTCTCCCTGGAAGAGGACACAAAAATAGAAACGATGACATGAAGACACAGTGAGATAGTACAAAGAGAAAGAGGGAGAGAGACACTGAGGTGCACTGGCGCAGCAAAACAAAAATTGATGTGTCTAGGAGGGAGAAGAAAGACTCGGTCCTCGGAGATTCAGTCTGCTGTGTGCTCGAGTTCTCTTCACTCTGTGGATTATCTCTCCGTTTCCATTACTATTTTGCGCAATTGCTTTCCACTTCATCTAATTTCCTCTTTTCTTCTGTTTTTCTTTTCCTTTTCCCCTCCATCAGCGACCTCTCGTCCGCCACCGTGAGTTTGGCAACCACGGAGAGAAGATGCGCACCTGCGAGATTCACGTCTCTCTGCCTAAGCGGAACTGGTGCAAGCGCTGGTTGTCCAAATTTCCCACTCGCTCTAAGCGCATTGATGTCATCTCGCGTATTTTCTTTCCGCTCATGTTTGCCCTCTTCAACCTCGTCTACTGGACGACGTACCTCTTCCGCGAGGACATGCAGAATCTGGACAAAAACAAGCAGTGAAGCAGGGAAAGAGCATACAGGCGCACTCTACTCCGCTGCTCGCTTTCATTACTGTCATTTCTCTTTACTCCCTTTACACGCCACCGTGGCCTCATCTTGACGAGCCATCATCGTTTAAAAGCCATTTCAAAGTTTTCTTTTTCAGTAACGCCAATCCCCCTAAAACGCTTTCTAATACGTCTCTCAGCTTCATTCATTCCCACCGAGCCCATTTTATCTTCTCCCTATCTCTCTATCTTTCTCTTTTTATCTCGCTCTCTCTCCCTACTATGCTTTCCCTTCATACCGTTTCTAGCCGCCGCGCCCTCCGCAACGACCGCCCCTGTTAGCACCCGTTACCGATCCACCACCCATTGTTAGCACAGGCTGTATAAACGTAAACACTTTCCGAACACTTGTTCTCTTGTACCTCGTACCCACACGGACACACACAAGCGTTGATCCTTTTGCTGGTCAACAAAAGCTGGACAGCCAGACACAACTTTGTAACTCCTGAACCTAGTCACACCCACCAATGTACAATTTTACTGTTGCCAGCCTTTTACCGCTGTTACACACCATTTATACCTTCATGATCTTCTGTTCTTGTTGCCAATTATTAAAAGACACAAACCATTTAAAATGCTTTCACTTTTTAAGGTTTTGACAAAAGAGAATCGGCTTTTGTTTTGATTCAGCTTTAAAAATTTTTAATTTTGCTGCTACACTACAGCGCCATCTATTGTTATAAAACAAAACTGATGTTTTTTACACAAAAGACAACTTTGCCAACAAAAGTGGCTTTTGCAGCTTTATTTCTAGAGTAAAAATGTCAGTGAAAACAAATAAAAAGTGGAATAAGGTGCATTACTTTTTTAGGTGCATAGGGATATCAAAGTAAGCTAAAAATAGAGCTTTGCAAAAGTGTGACAATGGAAAGAGATCTTGTCAAGTAAAAAGGCGCCCATGCTGGAGAATCACTTTTTGGCACTTTTGCCAGCGGTGGCGGGCAGCTTCTTCACTGCCTCCACATCAGCTGCCAGCCACTTGTGCCCCATCATGCCTTTCATGTCCAGACGACTGGCTGGGTCTGGCTCGAGTACACCGTCCATGATGGACTTGAGATCGGCAGAAGGTGGCGCCTTCATGTCCTCCGAAAAGTCCCACTCCTTCTCTGTCATTGCCTTCACTCCATAGTCGTCCGTATCCACATTAAAAGGAGTCTTCAGATTGAGCATTGCGTACAAGGTGACGCCCAAGCTCCAAACGTCCACGAGGTAGCAGTTGTACTCGGAACCGGACAAAATTTCAGGGGCCCTTATGGAAAAGTTAAGGTCAGTTTTCAGAAATAATTTTGCACTTCATTCGTACATGTAAGCCGGTGTGCCGCATTGTGTTGTGTACATGACCGGTTCATTGCCGTTCTTGTGCACCACTCGACTCAGGCCGTAGTCGGAGACCATCACGATCTTCTTCCCACTTTGATGTTCAGCCATGAGAAAGTTCTGCCAGTGATTTGAAGAGATTATTTTCAAGGAAGCATTTAGAAAGTACCTACCGCTGGCTTAATATCTCGGTGTGCAATGTTGCACTGGTGCATGTGATCGACACCGCAGGCCATTTGTGCAAAGTAGAACTTGGAATCCTTCTCATCGAGGGCACCGCCTTTTTCCAGCATTTTTCCAAAGCTGCCCGCATCAGCTAGTTGCATGAAAATATACAGTTTCTAAAAAAATATTAGATAAAGTAGCTTTCGGAACGCTGTTTCAAGTTTACCTCATTGACAAGAAAGTGCAAGAACAGCTTCACTGCAAACGGATTGTCCACCATTTCCATGATAAAGAGCTCATTTTTCATCTCAGTGACGGCGTCATTGTTAGCTGGTTGAGTGATAAAAAAGTTTTGACACTGTTTTTGATTTTCAGACCTTGTTATCACTTACCAACTTTGACCGTTTTGCAGGCGACCAGTTGTCCGGTCTTGGTGTTCTTCGCCTTGAAGACCACTGCAAAGCCACCCTTGCCGATTTGCTCCATGATTTCATATCCATTGTACTTGACAACGTCCTCTTCTGTTTTGAAGTTATCATTAGGCACCGCGTAGATTGTGGTCATCTCGTCGGCCTGCAAACGGGACGGACTGAGAATGCCGTCCTTGGCTGCCGGTGGCTCCTTGCCTTTCATCACAAACTTGTGCGCCGCCGAGTCCTTGTTTCGACTGCTCGCTCGTGACGTGGTTCGATTGGCACGGGACTTGGAAGTAATCGAGGGGCCATGGCGTTTGTGGTGATGGTGGTGGTGATGGTGGTGATGTTTCGGTGTCGTAGTTTTGCCCGCTTTGCTGCCGCTCTTCTTTGAGCCACTCTTCTTCTTGGAGCTGGCACTTTTGCCCTTGCTGCCACCACTGCTGCTCTTCTTGTTGCTGCCACTCTTGCCCTTTGTCTTGCCAGTCTTTGTTTTAGTCTTGGTTTTGGTGACCTTGCTCATGTTTGCAAATGAGTCTGCTAGATTGATGACAAGCAAATATGGTAAAAAGTGGTAAACATGTTTGCCAGAAGTTCTATATTGAACTGCTGATGTGTTGTTTTTGAAATTCTATTGAAATAATTTAATTGGAATCTCTAACGAATTGCGTTTGAAGGCTCAACTCCTTTTGTTTTTAACCCATTTTACCTTGTATTTGTCAAACAAATAGTTCAACCTGATTTAATTTAATTTAAACACTAAATTACTATAGTAACTGCTACTTTAAACTTGAGTAAAAATGAGAGAGGAGTGACAAAACGGTTGTTGTCATGTAAACTGTTGTGGCCATGAAGCGAGTCAAAACGAGTCACTGGAATGCATGTGTTTACCAGCCATCTGAAACGTCCCTGACGTGAATCAGGCGACAGGTTTGAGACTAATGTTCAGTTGGTTGTGTTCACTACCGCTACAACTTGCTTAGGAAAACAAGCATTTATCGCACTTCATCCTAACTGATCTTTGTGTGATGAATCACTTTACCAATAGCGATTCAACAGAACAGTTCATCTATCAGTATGTGCAAAAAGTGCCTGTTCTACATTTCCTCAAATCAAAAGGCGCATTCCACTGGTGCATTTGCGCAGAGAAAATCAAGCAGTGTTGCCTCTTGGTAACACAGCTTGTCATTGCAATGTCACACTGAAATGTGTATTTTCAAAGTACTAGGCACACTCTGGAGAAACACCCATTTAGTATTTGGACTCGTCTGCTTCTAGTTTTATCATCTCAAGTGTGTACACACTGCTGCACCACATTAACTAACTTACAACGTCCGTTTGCATATACCTCCGGCAACAAGAGGCAGCAATGCCGAGCAACAGGCTGCCATCACAACCCAATCAGCGGGGCTATTGTTTATTGCTCTGCTTTTCATTTCATCTCAATGCAGTTCAGTACAGTGACAGCCGTGTTTAATAAAACAAAATACTGGATGACTTCGATTTATGAAAAGCTAAAGGATAAAGAAGGAGCTGTGAAGATCGAGAAAATTCCCCGGTAGAAAATTCATACTATTGAGTGTCAGTGAGTCACTCTTAGCTAAAGTGCTGCTGATGATATCGAAAGAAAGGCTGTTCAGTAATGGCCAGTGACGGGTACTGCCCTCCCTCTCTGGCAGTAGTGGTAGCATCATCAGTAGCAGCAGTATCGGCACTGTACATCGCTCACTACCTCTGTCCTGTTCACCATTGCAAGGCAACGATAGCAATGGCGAAGAATGAGTCGACCGAAAGGCAGCCTTGCCGAAGGGTGTCTCACACTGTCTGCCTGTCTCTCTGTCTGTCTGCCGCAGAGGATATTTAATACACCGTGCGAGCGCAGGCACACTCGATCACCACTCCGATTAGTCAAGCAGTCGCCGACAGTCGTCAGATCGCTCTCGTTCTGATCGTTGCTCTTCTCTCGCACATTTCTCTGGACCGTTTTCTCCGTCAACTTAAAAAAGATGTCTCACGTCTACAACCGTAAGTGCGACAGTATTCTAGAACGACTCTGAAAAGCATCCGTCATCATCTTTCATCACTAATAATTGTCATCGCCACTGTTTGACAGAGCGCAACTACCGTTCACCGGCCGTGTGGCAGGACTCTGCCGAGGGACACGTCCCCTACAACAACCCAGTCATTGGCGGCAATGATGTCAATGGGGAGCCCATCTACGTCGGTCGCGCCAATGAATCGGGCGACACTATTCCCGGAAAGGTGAGCTCCACTGTCTGATCATGCGAGTGAGCACCAACTAAATGGCGGCTTCTCTTTCTCAGGTTGTCCCGTCACACCGAGTGTGCTATGTGGCTTACGCGGGCCGTGAATGCGCCCACCACCACTACCAGGTGCTGACCAACCCGAACAACACTGAGCTAGTGTGGGTGCAGGCATCGCACGGCTCAATTCCAACTGGCGCCCTGGCTGGTGGCAAGCAGAGTGACGGCACGAACCTGTACATTGGACGTGGCCACTACAATGGCTCAATGGTGGTCGGCAAGGTTCACCCGCAGCACCACGTCCTCTATGTTAGCTTCGGAGGAGATGAACACCCAATCCATTCATACGAAGTTCTGGTTGCCAAGAACCTGCACACCCACGACTACTAATCTGCGCC